AATCGAACCGGCCATGAACCCGGTCCGGCCGGCCAGGATCGGATCCTCAGAGTGGCCGCGGAGGCTTATGTCAGTGACCTTGTGAGTAGGATCACAGCTTACGCCGTACCAGCCGGCGCAGCAGTTATTTCCAGCCCAGGACTTGAAGATTCCCAAGTACGGCTCCTTCAGCGCCGCCCTGAATGCTAGCAGCGCCGCCCGCTCCGACGGCGAGCAAGCGTCGACGGCGGCGAGCAAGTAGACAACTAGTAAGATTCTCAACAACATTCTCATCTCTAAATAATTTTTATTTATTTATTTTTGAGATGGAATGTTGTTGATTCTTCTCTCTGGATGAGAGAAGATTTCCTGGTGAGCCTGAAAGATTCTGCCATGGGTGCCATTGTTATATAGGAGGAAGAAGGGAAGGTGTTTGATATTTTTGGATTTTTTTGAGAATTTTTTTTTGTTTAATTAATTTATTTTTGTCTTTTAAGTGGTCAATCCACCCTTCCTACTAAATTGGAGGGATCGGTTGTAGACTTGTTAAATTGAGGCTCCTCTAAAAAGCGGAAATGCATCCTAATAATAGAGTAATATCTGATGATGACTTTCCAATCCAAAAATGCTTATTTGGTGATGTCAACTAAATGTTGCACAACACATTATATCTTTTTTTTTTCCCTTAATTATCGTACATTTATCTATCTTAGTTATCAAATAGTAATAATAAAATTAATAAATTTTTGGAGACTAAAAATTTAATGAAAATTTCCACCTACAACGTTAAAATATTGCCATGTGTAAAATTATCTGTCTATTATCTCTCATCAGTTATATTTCTGTTTTTAATTTTTATCTCAACAAATTTTGTTTTCTAATTTTTTTTCGATCCGTTTTTATGCTATTAGCTATTCTGTTGATTCTTCTCCAAACAGGAACCACCGATTTACAAATATCATTAACCATAGAATTTAGTGAGCGGCGCCAAATCTTTCTATGGATTGCTTCTTTCGCCTCTTTCGCCGTCAAAGTGCCTATGGTACCAGTTCATATTTGGTTACCCGAAGCTAATGTAGAGGCACCTACGGCAGGATCCGTCATCTTGGCAGGAATTCTTTTAAAATTGGGAACCCAAGGGATAACAAAAAAAAAAAAATCCTATATAGTCTAGTCCTCGCTCCAAGAATAGGGATGCATTTTTTACCATGTCTCAACTTCGTCCCGATTCCATTTTAAAATAATTACTATGTATTTTATTAACCATTTTACTAAATTATGAATAAAATATTAAATATATTTGTTCAATTAATTATTTATATGAATAAATAATAATTTTCAATAACAAAAAATATATATATTATTGAAAAATAATATTAACCATTCACACGCTCATGCAGACTTGAAGCATTATACAATTTAAGAGATAATGAGCATTTGTTCTTATGTTCATCATATTTTTTATTATATCCTCATAAGAACTAGATCCAAATGTTAGATGTGATACAGTTTTGTTTCGAAAAAATGGACAGACAAAAGAGCAAATTGTTAGAGTTACAACTCATCAAGCTGAGGCTTAATAGCTTCACTTCTAAGAGGTGTGCACGATTCTATTCGACTCGATTTAGGAGTTGACTGAAACCACATTGAAGATTTTTATCCTGAAAATGTAAATCAAGCCAAACCGGCTAACGTGTTTAAATCGAGCTGACCCAATCGAAAACCATCGGTTCAATTTGACTATTTGAGACATAGGAGAGGGTATTGTAAATCAAATCTGTTGGTGATTTTTCTAGAAAGAAAAAAACATAAATGTCTAGCAGTGGCAGCTTAACTCCCACGCCGCCCAATCATCATGCATCTCAAAATTTCATCTAAAAAAATGAGAAAATTATTTTCCACCTCTCTAAAATAATACGGTTTGTTCGATTTATCGAACCACATCAATATGGTCGATATTTAAAAGTTTTCAAAACCTAAATCGAAAATCAAACCAACTTCGGTTTACGATTTTCTCGATTTTAATATTCACTCTTAATGCCTTGTACGAAGGTATGAAGGACCAACCACATTATTTAGTTACAAAACAATTACTTTTATTGATTAAGATATACACTTGATTCACATCAACGACCCGAAGATTTATCACCCCCATTCTAACGACCCCATATGAAATGAGGTGACTTGACAGGAATGACATTGACAAACGAGATTGAGATCAAAGAAGTATAGCGGAAATCTTAGTAGAGAGAACAGTTGGGCAATGAAGAAGGGACCTACAAGAGTCCCTAGTCAAGTGGAGTGGGCTCTCAAATGAAGAAACCAATTATGAGTATATTGAAGACCTGAAGTTAGCTACGGCATAGATTGAAGAGTTTGAGGACGGTTGACATAAACATCAACCATTTAAGTGGGAGAGAATATCATGGTCATACTCGTCTAGGATTGTTGCTCATGACTACATGCTTATAACACTCTTTTCCCTCCTACACTTTATTTCACGTATTTAGTTTTCCATGTTATTTTTATTTTCTTGTACTTTTAGTGGCGAATGACTTCTTGCCACTTTGTATGTTCACACATGCTAGTGCAACGAAAGACGAAGAGAACAATTGTTACAAGTATTTATAAAGAAATAAGAAAACCAACCACTGTTCCTTCAAATTATACCAAACAAACATCACAACTCTACTAAGGCACTAAGCCTACAAACTCTCCAACTTATACGTCCACTCTTCCACTACTTATTAATTTCGAACTATAAAATTAACTATCGAAGAATACTAATAAATAAACTAACACATGTTTGAACTAATTCTTAACAACTAGACTAAAAATGTGATATAACGTACCACATGAGTATTGTTATCTCTCATTCTCGTTACCGCTACCTTGAGTGGTATGTTGTAAAGTTGTTATTTATCTTATATTACTTTTGAGTATGCAACATTAAAACGTTTTCAAATGTTTTTCACTATTTTCTCGGGAACGGGGTGGAAGTTGCAAAATGGTGCCATTCAGTGCAGTCTCCATTTTTACATAAAAGAAAATAACATTCTCTATCCTAAAGCAACACCAAGCATTATAATTAATTATTTCTAAGATTCAGATTTGCATTAAACCAAAAAACAAATAATAATTTAAAATGAGAAATCACACCCCACTCGCTAAAAATCCACAAACGTATTTTATTATCACAGTTTATAAACATCCCCAACACACGAAACCGACCCGGATCTATCGGGTCGGATCGAGACTATCCTTGCCCGTATTTATCTTACCCATCATTTTCCTTCAACAGGTCCTTAACGGGTTCCCGCAGAGGCAATCGTTGTTGGTAAACGACGACGCTTCGAGGTGATCGAATGGCGACCCGATGGGTATCGACCCGCATAAGTGGTTATGGCTCAGATCCATGTGCCCGACGTATTTGGCAGACGACAGTGAATTTGGTATCGGACCTTTCAGAGCGTTGAACGACAAGTCGAGCGCCATGAAGTAGGAATCGGGGCAGAAAACGTCCGGAATGTGCCCTTCGAGGGTGTTCCTGCTCAAATTAAGAATCCCTAGGCCGCCATTGCTGATCAAAGTCGGAGGTATTTGGCCGGAGATTCTGTTGCTGTCCAGGTTCAGAGTCGAGAGAACCGGCATGTTGCCGAGATTCGCCGGAATATAGCCGGAGATTCCGTTCATCGACAAATCCAAATCGGCGAGCCGGTACATTTTCGTAATTGAAGCCGGAATCTCTCCGGTGAGTTGGTTACGGCTGAGGAGCGCACGGCTCAGCATTCCTAATTTCCCGAAATCGGATGGAATTTCGCCGGATATTTGGTTGTTTCTGAAGTCGAGATGCATCAGACCGGCGATGTTCACGATCGACGCAGGTATCGTTCCGGAAATCGCATTCTCGGCAAGGTTAAGCACGGTGAGGCGATTTAGGTTTCCGATGTCTGAAGGAATCTGGCCGCTGATTTTGTTTCCGACGAGGTCGAGTACGCGGAGATGAGCGAGCTTCGTCAAGCACTTCGGAATCTCGCCGGAGATTCCTTTCCAATCGGCAATGACGAGGATCGTGAGGCTATCGAGCTTGCAGATCTCCGGCGAAATCGAACCGGTCATGTAGCCAGTCCGGCCGGCCTTCTCGAAGATCGGATCCTCAGATTCGCCGCGGAGGCTTATGTCAGTGACCTTGAGAGTTTGAGGATCACAGCTCACGCCGTACCAGCCGCCGCAACAGGAATTTCCAGTCCATGACTTGAAGATTCCTAAGTACGGCTCCTTCAACGCCGCCTTGAATGAGAGCAGCGCCGCCCTGTCCGACGGCGAGCAAGCGTCGGCGTAGGAAACAGCGGCGAGAAAGTAGACAACAAGTAAGATTCTCAACAACATTCTCAATAATGCTGTGGGCTTTCTTCTCCCTTTTCTGGTGAGTCTGTAAGATCTGCCATGACAGCCATTGTTATGTAGGGGAGGAGAAGGGAGAGTGGGACTGGCAGTTCGGTTGGGGCCTGGTTTCAATGCACGTAGTTAATTTACGAAAATACCCCTGGTGGAGACGATAATTACAATTTTGGGTCCGTGGCACATGCTGAAACCTTGACCCTTTTTAGGATAAGGAAAGTTTGGAGATGGGTGAGTGAAAAAGAGTGTTGGGAGAAAGCTGGTTTAGTTTTATGTTTGTATTTTTATTTAGTTTCCTTTTTTATTGTCTCGTGGTGTTGTTTGTCCATTTTTAGTCTTGGAACATGCCAATGACCATGACTGTATTTTCTCATTAAACTGTAATTAATGATGGGTTTACATTTAATTTTAATTTTTAAGTTTGAATCTCTCATCCCTTTTATTGAATTGATAAACAATTCATCGTTAAATTGGATTTTAACTTTGAGAACAATATTGTTTTTTATTTTCTATTTTTGAAAATTAAGTCGGCGGACACTAGTTTCACAATGTTTTCTTTATTTTACTATCTACTTTTAAAAAGGTTTTTCGAAATCCAAACTAAAATCTGAACTAATAAAAAGTAGTTTTCAAAAATTCTTTTCTTGTTTATTAAAATTTAGCTAATAATTCAAATGTATTTTTATTTAAGAAATGTAAACATATATCAAGAAAATTGTGAAAAAATAAGCATAATTTAAAATATAGAACAAAAAACGAAATGATTAGGACTTTTTAACCCATGATATATAAATTTTTTAGTTCAACCATCGATTAGGGAGGGATTGAACTATGGACCATAAAAATGGTATTGGGTAACCTTTATGATGCTTAGCTTCTCATTTTTCTTGACATATTTGTTTTAAAAAAAGAATAGTGTGGCAAACTAAATTTAGTACGTAATTAAGCATATAAGTATATCTCTTGATAGTAAGTTGAACACTCCCTCCTTGTTTGGAGTATAGGTAAGTTTTTTTTCACCTTAATCGTTGAATTATGCTGTATTCACAACTCACTTGTTGTAAATAAATTGATTTCTATAATGCATCGTGAAAAGTAATTATGTTTAGTTCACATAGTCACCTGAAATGGATGATAAACTAATTACTTAGCATAATATTTGGCGCATCATAACTTTTTAAATTTTAGAAAATTCATAACATTTTTGTTTAAATTGGGAAGGAAATCAAATTCAAACTTTTATAGAGTACATTTAATTATTTCCTTTTAACCTTATCAATGATCACTTTCTTATAAATTTTTTTTTAATAAAAATATCTAGTAAATGATAAATTTATGGGCCCTCATAATAAAAACTCAAGATTTAGTGCATATCCCTTAGTTTGCTTTTGTGGGATCTTCAAAATCCTTCTAGCTATAGATATGTAAAGAGCTTGCCTTCATTAGCATTTTGCAGTGAAAGGGGGACCAAGGGGTAAAGCACCAAATCTCTTGAAACAAGGCATATGTCAATAATGTTGTTGTTATACTATCTAATTTAACTGCATTCAAATATTTAAGATATTAATAATCTTTCATAAGTCGAAAGCTTGAATCTTCATCGTTAAATTTGTGCAACTCATTTTAAAAATGCAATCAAAATTTTATATCGACTAGATAATAGAAAGATCCATAGTATATAAATAAGGATAACAATATCTATTGATACTATGTTTTATGAGTGAGACTAAAAGTAAACTCATAAAACTTTAAAAAAATAAACTTTGATATTTAAAAAAGTATCCAATATCTCTAAAATTTCAACGTGGCTGCTTAGTTCATATGTATTATTTGAGAAGTAATTAATTTTCACGGGCTACCTAGCTTAAATTTTGTAATAATTTTAGATTCTCTCATGAAAATGTTGTTAATATTTAATGAAGTTTTGTATACATGTAGATCGATAAAATAATGAGAGACCAAACCGACAATTTATTTTGGTAAGATTTTTCATAGTAGGAATTAAATCATTACAAATTTTAAACTAAAAAAAGACTACAAAGATTAATTTGTTATGGGAGACTAAATTGTTACAAATTTGAAAATGAACTAAATCATTACAAACTAAAATTAAAAAACTAAATCTAAAACTAAATCATTAGTAGTATAGGAAGCGATTTTTAACCGAATTTTTATTTGTAATTTAACTGAAGAGAAGAAAAGTCATCCAAAAGATTTATTACGAGCTCAAGAAGCATGCAGCGAAGTTAATGAAAATAGAGGGTTTTAAAATGGGTCCCAACAAAAGTGTTAAATTTTCGTTCACATATCGACGTATCCATTAATATTTTCATGTTTCTATTAGATATAACATCAACCTAAAGATTCACCTGATATTTTCATAGTATTCCAAAAAAATAACAAAATATGAATAACATCACTAATATAAAAATAATATTAATATTAATCTTTTTTAGTTTATTTAAAATTATGAAATATTTATTTATTAATTTAAATATTTCTCGCACATTTTTATTTTTGTACTTTTTTTCAAATATTTATCCATATTTGTATCGAAATCTATATTTAAAATTTTGGTCCCAATCATATCACATCACGCGCCCATCAATTTTTCCACCTCTTTCCTGAGCTGTCAGTGGGCCAGCGTTGTTCTTTTTAACCTTAATTCTTGTGTGTCGGCTTTAATATTAATATATTATTAGGACTTTTCTTTTCTTTTATTTATTTATTTTTTTTAATGCGCCATCAGATTTTGTATCATGATTGAGATCAACGGATATGGTGCCCCAAATTATTGTTTTTATGACCATATTCATATCATTGATTATAATTTTTATTTCTTTATTTTTAAAAATTCGATCTTCATTTTTTTTTGGATTTAAATTTTTAATCTTAAAAAAAGACAGAATACTAATATTGAGATCTTAAAAATATTGTATACATGAAAAGTAGTAGAATGTTGACAACAAAATTAAGTACCATACATATTGCTAAATGAACCTTCATTAATTAATAATAAAATTTACAAGTACTAAATATAATTCAACATGTTAAAACTAATATATCATTCACAGGGCTGCTAATCTTTATGACCATTAGGTATATATAAATTGGGTACACATAAATTATGAAAACTAGTTTTCATAATCATTTTGTAATTGAAAATTAAGTTTGTTGACACTACTTCCATTGTATTTCTTTGTTTTACCACCTACTTTTTTTTAACATTTTCAAAATCTAAGTTAAATTTTGAAAACTAAAAAATGTTATCAAATGAGGCTTAAATGTTTGATTATTGATTTATAATTTGCAAAAATCAATGTATAGCATAAAATTTAAACTTATAAGTCTAGATTTATGTTATCTAAGTTTAAGTAGCATACGAGATTAGCAAACTATATACCACACATATGCTTCACTTATTAACTTTATATAATAAAAAATCTAACTTGTGTATTTTTTACCTTTCCATACAAAAAGTAGAGACTATTCTTTTTCAAGTTCATTACTATGAGTATATCTACCTACCGATCAGTTTGCTTTAAATTAAAAAAAAAAGAGTTGGCTTTAAATGATTCTAAATAGAAATTCTTTATAATTACATTGATATGAAAAAAGTTTCGGATTTTTTTAATGATTATATTTATTTTGAGAAAGAAAACAGAGTTTAACTATTGCTATCAATTACGTAGTTTTCATTATCTAATATACAATTTCCAATATTTCACATTCACCCATTAAATACAAAATATCAATATCAAATAGATTAAGCAATTATGATAACTGACTTGTTTGTGGGAACAATTATGACAACCAAATTGTTCATAAAGCATAGTAATGATAATATTAATTGTATCACATTCCTTTAGATTATAATTGATGTGTGTGACTAAGATTGAGATATATATATAATCGTAATTAAGTGTCTAGGCCAATTTGCAAGTACCTCACTCATCTCAATTCTTAAGTAAGACGTCATCGTGGGGTTTGAACTTAGATATATTAGAATACAAATAAACTTTTTTGATTTACCTGGGCTCTTTTAGACTAATGAGCCAGCTCAGATTGAGAGGGAAATATCTTTTCAATTATCATAAAGTTTTTTAAAAAATTAATAATTAGTTGGGTTTATTTAGATGCGTTAGAATACAAGTCTACTTGGTATTGTATTAAATATTAAATTAAAATTTAATTCTTATCACGAGAGAGAGAGGAGCGACATGTTTTGGAGCAGAATTTAGTTCGACTTCGACTTGGTGAAGATTGTGCATGTGTGAGCGAGAGAGGGGCAACATGGTCCCGGACCAGAGTTTAGTTCAAATCCGACTTCGTGAAGATTCTGATTGGTGAAAAATCTACTAACAATATTCGACGAAATGGTGATTATGCTGCCAGATGATCTTCCAATTAACTTGGTACTAAAGATTATCATGAGGGAAAAATCTGTTAACATTCTACTAAATGGTGATTCTATTGTTAGAGGATCTTCCAATAGTCGACGAAAATTCTGTTGAATGATAGGTACGACAATGGTAGTAGTAGAGTCATGGTTCTCGATGCTCTCCTCTCGAAAGGTGGAGTCTCACGTTTTCAAAAGTAGTAATTTATTCATTCAAACTAAGTTTGACTCGACCTTAGCCCAGAATAAATTCTAACTTAAAGTTTGAGAGTATACATGGTTAAGCACTTCACCGATGCAATATTTAGTTTTCAAGTTTGATTAAAGCCTACGTTAAAACCTATATTAGATAGCTTGATGGATTTTTCTTTTTTATAAATAAAAAAGATTAAGAATTTAAAAGTGAATACGAAGAGGTGGCGGTTGGGGAGACGATGGTCCTACAAGCTGACACAAAATGGGTCACTGTCCTCTTCAATTGGAAAGTTAGAAGAACACAGCATTGAAGGCCCTCACATGAAAGGGAGGAAAAAAAAATCATTTATTTATTTATTTTGGAACAAAACCACGAGAGATTGAATATGGACGAGACAGTTTTTAAGTGATTTATTTTCATCCTTTTAACTTTTTTTTAATACAGCATGCGGGAATCGATCTCACAATCTTTTAGTTGAAGAGATATATGCTAATTATCGTTGAGATATGCTCGCTTTTGACTTAAGTATATATCACTTTTTAATTTTGTAGATTGGTTTTATTATTACTCCAAAAAAAATTGTTAATCAATTTTTCTAAAATGCAAATGTTAAGTATATTGCAAGGGAGTAAGATGGATATCAGAGTCCAAATAGATCTAAAATAGAAAAACAACACTGTGTGCCTAAAAAACGAGACACGATATAAAAATTCATTTATGGAATAAGTCTCAATTAGTATACTCTATTAATGGTGGGGAACTAGAATGAATTCTATCACGTCAAGGAGTAGCACAAGCATGAATGTCACTATGAACCGTATGTAAAATAATCGAGAATCGGACAAACATAAATGTCACTATGAACCATATGTAAAATAATCGAGATCGGACGAGATCTGTAAATTGATCTTAATATGTACAACAAGTCATTGACCCTAATATTGAATAGGGATGACAGAAAGGGTAGGATGAAGTTAGGAGGGTGTCCCTTGACATCATATGATCGAGATTTGGATTATTCGATTTTTTTATTAAAAACTTTTTTATATGAGGAAATTTTTTTTTATTGAAAAACTCTATATATAAAAATATACATTAGAATGTTAAAATTAGAGAAAAATAATTGTATTGAATAATTAATTTGATTCATTTAATTCATGTATTAACTAGAAAGAAGGTAGATAAATATAATAAAAGATCGAGGGTTGAATGTGGAAAGAGGACAAAAAGTCGAAGTTAGAGCGGAGATACATTTGTCATTGAATAATACTTTCCTTCTCACATTTCCTTCCTAATTACCGCTATTAAAAATTTGACTGTTTATATATATATATATATATATATATATATTCTCTGTCTCTCTCTACTGTTAGAATAAATTTTGGAGTGAGTCATAAGATTTTATTTAGCTTCATTTTTTTGGTAAAACAAACGAGAGGGAAGAATTTGAACTAATGACTTCTTGACCAAATACATGTGTCAATCATCATTAAGTTAAGTTCATATTTAACCTCATTAATTGTCACTATGCTATTTTCACCATTAGAAACCATAGACATCAAGTCTTTATTGTTTTTACATGTATCTATAATTATAAATCATAATACAATAAGTTAACACATTCCATCAAACAAAAAATATCAGATTCAACCAAATAAAAAATATCAGTTCATCGTAGCATAAATTGATTAATGAGTAATATATTCAATTGAGTAAAACTCTATGATAGAAATGCTTTATGAGATTGACCGAATCTTAAGGTCAAAATTAAAAATTTTAAAATTAAAATTAAATTAGTTCAATTGAAATTTTTAGAACGGGAGATTTTCAAATTGAAACTAAGCACAAAATTGTAGACAAATTAGTAATTTAATTGAAAAAATATATTTTTTATTAAAATAAATAATTGAAACTAAGCACAAAATTGAAGACAAATTGATAATTTAATTGAAAAAATATAATTTTTTTATTAAAATAAATTTTATTAGTAAAAACATAAAACTATTTTCAAAACCGTATCTCCAATAATGTATATTTTTAAAAACAAAAATAACGATTCTGTATTGAGAATAATTAAATGGTGATGGTCGGTGGGTAGGTGGGGAAATTAGACGGCGGGCATTTACAATTAATAATTTAATATTAAGAGAATAAAACAGTTTTTCGGAAGGGGCGCGTGCATGTGTCTCTGCCCAATTATATATATATATCCACCCCAAATGAAAAAAATAGAAAATATATATCCTTAAAATAGGCGATTTTCTGCTAATGATAAAAAAACTTCGCGTTGATATATCTAATATGAAATATGTCGCATTTCATATTAAGTATATCAATTATATTAGTAATTGTTATAGAGAACAGAAACGATCGAAAACGAAACAAGAATCGAGGGTCGGTCCATGCCAAAAGACGACCCGGCGCCAATCCCACCTCGGCGCTGAGGCGCCGGCCTCTCACCTTGGCCTTTGGGCCAAGGTGCAACAAGACTTCCTCCGCTTGGATCTAGCAACAAGAGAGTAAACACCCATGTTCGGACCGAGCCCAACATCTACCCTCTTCTGTTGATTAACAATCGTTGGGCCTTACAACTCCAAATTAGGGCTTTGTGGAACCACCCTCACAGAATAGCAGTGCATCCTAACCCTATGGGGGCAAGTGACATATCTCTAGCTCACTATTTTCTCAACCCTCCCTCGCTAACTTAGGCATCAGAGCCCGTGTGACTGAGGTCACACCGGTTTAGATCGGTTTGATTTTGCAGGTATCGGTTCCCTTATCATCGAGTTAGGTGTTTGCGAGAAGAAGAACCGGAGGGTCAAAATCCACGCATCAACAGTAATATACTCAGTATTCGATGTATTAGTTATATCGCTGAGATATTTGGTATATCAATTAGAAACTTGCAATGTTTACTTAAACTAAAATCTTGAATCCACGTACCATTGATTAGAAATATACATAATATGAAGTATATCGTTCATATATTTAGTGTGGCTAATATACTTAGTAATTATGTACATAAGTTATATATATATATGTTATACACCTAATATTATAAATGTAAACAAAAGGACAATCAAACTGATTTGTCGATTCAATAGATATCCAATGAAACAAATGAGTCTCAAATAATGAGAGATATGTAAGAAACCTGTTCAATTATGCCTACTCTATGATATTTCTAAAATGAAGTATATCACTGATATATTTGTCAAACTAAACATAACTTAACCAGTTAAGGTAGTTAAATAAATCGCAAGTATTTTGATATATATAAAATAAATCGTAAGCATACGTCCATTACAACTAATAATTGAAATGAGTATTTTGAGTATGGCTCGATCGAGATCTACTATAATAATTGTGTACTTATCTCTTTTTTTTTTAATTGTTTATATTAAATGGTCATACATGCTGAATTATTTTGGTAAAAGAATCTGTCCACTGGGCTATATATGGAGGCCTATTGGGTCAAATATTTAAGAGTCTTTATTGTTGAATTCTGTATTCAATATTTTACGTAAAAAACAAAATCTAAATTCCTATTCACCATCATTTTTCAACTATTCGTTCTAGCAAATGGCATTAACATGATGGATCATTTGTAAAACTTGATTGAGTTTTTTTTAGGAAAAAAAAATGTTTGGTATTATTTTATTATGTTTGTGTATGTTATTATTATTTTTTAATATCAAGAATAATAAACTAATCTTTTTATTTATATTCGAAAACAAATCGGAAACAGAATTAGGAAAATAATAAATTTTAGATCGAATTGGCAACCTTCAAATTTAAGCATTTATCAACTATTATTTATATTTTTTGTTTCTCAAACTTTTTAAGAAACATTCTCACATAAATTTTAGAAACAGTAAAAACAAAATTTTCTTTGTTCTTTTTTTAATTTATTCCAAAACATATATAAAAATATTRTTTTATCATTTTTGAATCTATTGGTCTAGAGGTCATGCGATTGTATTTTTTTATTAAAAATGAGAATAAGACATAAATATGGACTTGGAATTTTGGAAGGTTTCTAAAAAGAAATGAAAAAAATAAAAAATATATACAATTATCAAATGTTTAAATTTTTTAATATATTAGAAATTAGCGAAATGAGCCTAAATTTCTCAATAGCTAGAAACAATAAATACGAAACGTGAATCTTTAACAAACGTGTTTAATATATACAACAGTAAGCTTGTTATTAACAATTTTGTTATACGCAAGGAGTTGTGTCAAATTAGACCTTTCCAAACGAACAATAAAACGAAGAACCGTTGAAAAGCCCTCTCTTTATCAAGAAAAGCCTTCGCGTCTTCCCATTCTCTTTCAATTCTTCGCTAAACCCTTTCTTCCATTTCCCCCCGATTTTCTTTTTCCCCAACTAAATCGTTGCCCCATTCATTTGATCATGTACTTATCAATCGCAAAGTTGTAAAGACAAATTTCACCTGTAAAAGCATCAAGCGATCGATTGTTCCTCCTCTCGATCGATCGCTTGGTGTTTGATTTTTCCATTCTTTTTCGTTTCCCCAGTTTCCAATTTTCGTTTTGAGGGTTCTGTGTCGCGATCAGAACGGATTTGATTATTTCGTTTGAGAGATGTCTAATTTGAACTCCAATTTCAATCAGAAGATTGATTATGTATTCAAGGTCGTGTTGATCGGAGATTCTGCGGTGGGGAAATCGCAACTCCTTGCCCGTTTTTCCAGGAACGAGTTCAGTTTGGATTCGAAGGCGACCATTGGGGTTGAGTTTCAGACCAAGACGCTTGTCATCGACCAGAAAACTATCAAGGCACAGATATGGGATACTGCTGGGCAGGAGAGGTACAAACCACCATGTTTCTTGGGGATTCTTTGCTTTTTCAATGATACTAAATTGGGTTTCTGAATATAAAGACTTCAATAAATAGGCTTCTTGCTCGTTTCACATGGGTTAACATTGGATTTGCTATGTCTGGAACTTGTCATTTCAAAATTTTAGTTAGCCTTCGTTGATGATAATGGATTCATTTCGACAATGTGTTAATTCGTTTCTGATATCAGCTAGTGTTCAGCTTGTGCGATGCTTGATTCTACAATATTTTTGTTTTTAAGAAACTTGTAGGATAGGATTTTAATATACTAGGTTGGCTTGGTTGGTAGCCAGGTGTTTGAACCTATTCCCTCTGAGTCTCTTTACTTTTTCCTTTGCATTTGCCTCGATGACAACTAGGCTAACCTCAGGGTGGTTTCTCGACGTTGTGTTAATTTAGCACTGAAAGCTGAAACTTTTCTTTCAGATGATCAATGCACTGAATTTTAGTTTCCTTTATGTTAGGTGAAGTTCTTCATATTTTTGGTTTCAGGATGTTCATATTGATGGTATCTATTTTTTCCCTTCAACTTGTGGAGTATTTCCTTCTAATACAGAAACTGCACTATAATTTTTTGTCTTTTGATATGACAATTTGTCCTACCCTTTCTTATGTACTAAAGTATAATAGATTATGCTTTTTTCACTATGGAAACAATCTGTTTGTAACTTACATGTCTTATCTCTTGCTGCTTCAGTTTATTTTTCTATCTTTCCCCCTCCCCTGCCCCCGCTAGATGTTGGGCTACGGCTAATGAGTTGTATGTAGATTCAGGTATATCATATAGATGTTACTGAATTGTGAACACTATGCACCTGAAACGTAACACAATCCACACCCGATTCAGATTCACCTTTATTTTCATTACAAAATAAACTTGTAGGCATGTGACCTTAAGGATCTTAGTCACTTGGTTAAGCACAAATGTCTTTATCGCCATGTTAAATCGCTCGGGCTTCATAGCGTTGATGTTTGACTTATGTAGGGTGCTTTACAAAACAGATATTAGAACCTACCAATATGTTGTGCAATTGAGAATTAGAAGTATGCAACTTTTGGAGAAGGTCTAGTAATTATGCGCTTGTATTGTGAGACTGGTAAACACAACTCAAGGTCGATGGTTGATGTTAAGCTAATGACTCTAAATGTGAAAAGAAATAACTTCCCCGAAGTTTGTAAGGAGTCTGTGAACATGGATAGATGCTAAGAGCAATATAGCCGTAATATTATTTTGACATCTGATATTCTGAGCATATGCATATTACATTCAAATGAGAGTGATTTATAATGTTGTTATGTAGTTATTTTGGAGTGGACAATGTGGCCAAATTTTAGTCTCTGGTTTCTACGTGGATTATGCAAAATTCTCCAAAATTAATGCAGTAGCTCCTTAAATATCTGTAGATTTTACTTCTTTATTCACTTATTAGTGATGATTTTCAGGTATCGTGCAGTGACGAGTGCATACTACCGAGGTGCCGTAGGGGCAATGCTGATCTACGACATGACAAAGCGTCAGTCCTTCGATCATATAGCTAGGTGGTTAGAGGAACTCCGTGGTCATGCAGACAAAAACATTGTCATCATGCTCATAGGGAACAAGTCCGACCTGGGTTCTCTCCGCGTCGTTCCCACAGACGATGCGAGAGAGTTTGCTCAAATGGAGAATCTGTTTTTCATGGAAACATCAGCGCTCGAGGCCACAAATGTAGAGACAGCGTTCAATACCATCCTGACGGAAATCTATCAAGTGATTAGCAGGAAGGCTCTGGTTGCAAACGAGGACGCCGATTCCGGAGGAAACTCGTCACTTCTTAAAGGAACAAAGATTGTTGTACCGGGACAAGAGCGGTCGGCAGCAAGCTCTGGGTGTTGCAGAAGTTGATAGTGAATAATTCTAGTTTGGTTTTAACATAATTTTCACATGAATTGCTGCCTTTTACAGCCTACACAACCCCTCTCCCCCAAAAAAAGACCACAAGACGAAGAAAAAGGTAAATAGTTCTCTGTTATATGCTTTTTGTTTAATGTTAAGAGGCATTGTCACCATTACAACACACATTTTAGTGAGCAAAAGCTTCATATATTGTCGTTCGTATCTTCATGTGTCTGTAAAACCTTTAACATGTGGATATGGGTTTTCTCCAGTTCAGGAAATGACCGAATTTCAGGATTCGAATACCTATGGTGGTAAATGAGTTTTGAAAAATATGCTATTTGTTTATTTACTTTTATTAAAAAAAAACTTAAGAATTTTGACTCATGCAACAGAATACGGTTAAACTCAAAACTTAAGTCGATAGGTTATATTATTTAACATTTATTTATATTATTTACATTCATTCATTTGTGGACTTGAAAATTAATACAATGTCCAAATAAATGATTATCAATATTAATTGTGGGAAGAAATAACATTACATGGGTTTGTATATAGAACTTTATTAAGCGGGGATAGTTGTTTTGAAACAAATTCAATGGTTGAAGGTTAAAATAAAACTTTTTAAATAATAAAGATATAATTGAAATCTATCCTAAACTTTAGGCGTATGATTGAGGTTTAGTTCAGGGGTATTTTCACGAAATTTAATCCCCAAAAAAAGAAAATCCGAACGGACATACTCCTTGGGAGGACACGTTGGGAAAATGATGATTGAAAAGTCGATATAATTCTCGATTTAAAATGGGTTTCACGGGCGTGGGAGGGTATTTTTGACATTTGGATAAATGGGAAGTGTCAGGGGCAAAAGAGGAAAATAGACAGTGTGCGCGCGCTATAACAAGAGAAGGAAAGAGGCGATTATTCTTTTCGATACAAGAAAACGAAAAAACAATGAAATTGAAATTAGGGTTTCGATCTGGCGCTCTCTCGTCCCTTTTCTTCCTCCCTCTGCGGAAAATTTGAGAAGATTGAAATCCCCGCAGTACGTGGATCAACTCTTGGGCATTTGTTATTGTTATAAATTATAAATTATAAATTATAAATTATAATAGTAGTGTGTAATTTCAAATTAAAGAGTTGGCTATTGTGTGTCGTGCTGGATTCTAAACAGAAGGAAAAGCAACATAATTTTGCTTTTATTATTCCCTTGTCGTCCTACTATGACCAGCATTTTGACTACGTTACAGTTTGATTACTTTTGAAATTCTTGCACATGCCAGCGTTGTTCTTATTATTATTATTTGTGTCCAACTTCAAATGTATGGTTTTTTCTTGATTTCCTATAACATGTGATGATTTCTTCGACCTTCTCTAATTAGTATGTCACTCTTCCATGTTATATCCTAAGTTTGGGACAATTAATTGATGCTTGTTTTTTTTTCATCATTTAAGATAGATTTATGAACTTTTTTTTTTTGGTGGGGAATTTTAAATTTAAGGTCATATACTTTTTGACTTTTAGTTCATTTTGGTTCTCTTTACTTTTAAAACGTCTATTTTGATCCTTGTTCATTTTAATCTTTATAATTTTGAAATGTCCATTTTGGTATTGTGCTTTTAAAATGTGACAATTTTGATAATTTTATTTTCATTTTTATCTTATTGTAATTTTAGCATGATACTTCACTCACTACTATTTTTGAAATGTAGCCATAATTTTGTATTAAAAGGTTTCTATTGTACATGGAATTTGTGTTAAAATTTTGGAAGTACAAGGAAAATGAACAAAAGTCGAAAATATAAATATCGAAATAGACATTTTAAAAGTAGATTAACTAGAGCCAAAAATATAGTGATCAAAATAGAGGATTTAAATCAAAATTTTAATAAATCTTATAGGTCAAGCATCTGGTTGATGCAGTTTTCACCTTTAATCTTAGTTTACTCTTATCTATTTTGTAGGTGGGTGGACTTCTTTTTTTCTTTCTTTTTTAATTTTTAATTTTAAAATTTTCTTTTCTCCTTGTCATTTCTTTTTTTTATTAACCTTTAAAGGATATTGTTTTTAATTTAAAAATTTTATGTGTTTATTTTTGGAAATTGTTGAAGTTATTTTAAATTTGAAATTGAATATTTAACTTTAGTTTTCAATTTATTCGAAGTTTATAATATTTTTCTTATTAAGAATGAGATCATTATCTAGAGAGTCCAAATAATTAGTTCACAATCTCCACCATCATTTAGGTCTTTGTTAGATAATATTTTGTTATTTTAAAAAATTAAGTCTAACCAACATCGGTGGGTTAATTAGTCCAAATGAGCAAAGGTAAATTAAAATGTTTTAGAGAGGAGTTTAAATCTCATGATACCTACTTGTCTCGAAATTAATCTCCTATGTGTACAAATGTACGTTGTTTCTTTTTTAGGAATACACTTTTTAATAATTTGTTTTTGTTTTTGCCAATAGGGACAAATCCAACGGGTTAAAGCATCTTGTTTTCATCTTATAGGTTGAAAATCAATATTTGTTTATTATTTTTCTATATATTATATTTACATTTCAATTTAGATATATTTATTAATTATAGTAGGAAATTATTGAAACCTACCCAAAGTTGGGGGACATTCCGTACAATTTTTTTAACTAATAACAAGTTGGTGCACATTCCAACCCAACTTAAACCTAATTTTAAGAAAACCCATAAACAAGATCTCATCAATTTGCAGAGGCAAAAAAGTTGAAGCGAACAACAGGAACACAGAGAAGAGGATTCGCCATTGGCAAAGTAAAGGCCGATCCAATCTCCATATTCACTTTATTTTCATCTCCATTTCTCCCAATCTTCCAATCGAAGCACTGAACCATGGCGGCAATGACATTGCTAATGAAAGAGAAGGCCAAGTTGGAGCCAGGGCAGGCCCTCCTCCCCCCACCAAACGGTACGAACTTGAAACTCTGCTGCCCCTTTATCTCGTACTTCATGTCGCCGTTGAATCGTTCTGGGTCGAATTCGTTCGGATTTTCCCAAGCTTTTGGGTCGCGCATTATGTCGAACAGGTTGACTGCAACCATGGTGTTCTTGGGGACAACGTAGCCGTCGATTGTGCAATCTTCACGGCAGGAGCGCATCGAGAGAGGCACGGCGGGGTACAGCCGGAGAGCCTCTTTGACGACGGCTTGTAGGTAGGGGAGATTCGGGAGGTCGTCTTCTCCGACGAGCCTGTCGGTTCCGATAATGGAATCGATCTCGTCTCTGAGTTTGGTGAAAACTTTAGGATGGTTGAGAAGCTCTGCCATTGCCCACTGTGAAACCTCCGTTGAAGTTCCAGTGCCACCCAGGAATAGATCCTGCAGTACAAAGAGCTCTACTCTTATTACCATTGAAAAAAAAAAAACTTTTTATTTTTAAGGGAAAAAGGAAAAAATTGTGAGAAAGGGAAGATAATTAAGAACAGTTACGAGCAAGAAAGCTTTGATATTGGTTCTTGTAATCTTGAACTCAGCATTGTGATCTTGGTAAACCTTCAACAAAATGTCCATCAAATCTCTATCTTCCCCATCCAATCCTTCTTCCTTTGCTCTCTCTTCATGTTGTTTTAGAATCTTCTCCAAAATTTCGTCGTACCTTAATGTCACGTCTTGTGCTTGCCTTCCAAATAACCAAAAGGCTAATCTCTCCAACGGCCATCCAAATACGTCTCCAAATGCTACTTGGGTAGCCATCTGAAATGTCTCTTTTACCAATACTCGTATCTTCTCTGCTTCATCGTCATCGTCGCCTGAACACCTTGTACTCATCACCATCCTGATGATACAAAATTAGTGAAATTAGTCGAGATGTACATATACTAGCATGAACATTTCCTGTCACATGTTGATTATTAGAGTGAAGCAATAGAAAAGTGTTTTAATTTCTTTATTAACAGTTTCCAGTGATATTTTATTCCAATGCCAAATTTCATATTAATTTGGTTGGTGTTATGTATCTATCTTCCTCCTCGATCATGTTTTATAATTTGTTTAAACTCTTTTAAACGGTTAGACCCAGCTTTTAAATATTCTATTTTGATMCTTAAAATCATTTGTATTAAATTTTTGTAGTACAATTTAATACTATCTTATATATATATATATACACACTTATCTTGTAGACTTATATTTTTCGTACCTTAATATTAATCTATTGTTATCCCTTTTTTTAAGAATATTGTGAGAATTTGAATTTAAAGGTAAATATAATATTAACTATTGAGCAATTTATACTTGGCTCTGGTGAGTTTGGAAATCAAATAGATGACCTAATTATTTTATTTTAATAAAGTTGAAGGCAAAAATAAAATATTTCAAAATAAGATTAAATTACCAAAAAAAAAATTAAATATTAGTTCAAGACAAAAAGAAAACAAAAATACCAAAATAAAAACATTGTGAAAGTTTATTGGAAAAAAATAAAATTAAACCTTCATAATTAAAAATTTTTCTTTCTCCATTTTAATTTTTTTTAATGAATATTCCAGCTCATAAATAAAGGTAGATATCATAACTTACGATTTTTCTACATGTTAAAGGAGTTAATATGTCTTAACTAATTATACTCTTAATAACATTCAACTTAAAACTTTCCGTAGAGACTATTAGGTGACTCCATATGAGGTAATTTTCTTTTTTAACTATGAGAAAAAAAGTAGAAAATTTCACTTTTTATATATATATATTTGAGCTTTTTTACTTAGATCAATAGAGAAATACGAAAATAGATGTCATCAATTTTTTTGACTTAAATATTGATCATATCCATCCGGGCTGAACCTTGGGTGGGCACGAGTGCCCCGTAACAAGTCAAAAAGCTAACGATTTCGAGTTAAGAGAAAAATATATGTATATAGATAGATTCTTACCTACAAGTGCTATTATTTGTGAGCTTGACGAGCTCTGCCCCCAAATCCACAGCCTCATTTTTGTGGCCGCTCTCCGCCAATTTCCTTAAGAATTTCACCATCTCTTCTCTCCGGACGGCGCGTGACCGCTCCACTTGCCGCTGCGACAAGAGCTCCGTCATGGTCAGTTTCTTCATGAATCTCCAGTAATCGCCGTACTCCGCCGCGAAGAATCCGGCCTTCGCGTACAGCAGCTCGTCGCCGAACGCGAAATTAGGGCGCCACGAGAACGCCACGTCCTGATTCTTGTAGATCTCGGCGGCGTGCGACGCCGACGAGACGACGACACATCGGACGGCGCCGAGCCGGAGGAACAGGAGATCGCCGTACCTGGCCGCGAGGTTGTGGAACGATTTGATGGCGGACGGCGAGAAGTAGTGGAGGTGGCCGATCAGCGGGAGAGCCGGCGGACTCGGCGGCCGGCAGCCTTGGGCGAGATTCTTCGAAGATTTGCGGAACAGAAATTGAAGGAGAATAACGGTGAAGAGGAAGAAGAAAATTGTGTAGAGGACATAAGAGATTGAATCCGCCATTTTCGCTTCTTTCACCTCTCTCTCGTAAAACGCAGGTTCTTCTTCTTCATCTTCATCTTCTGGCACTAAAATTTTAGAATTATTAATTTTTTTTATATATTCGTGTATCACGTCTAAATTTTAAAATTAATTAATCTATTCTTAATTGTATACTTTAGCTGTTGAAAACTAATGATAATTCTAACAAGAATTAGTCCATTTTGTTTTATTTTTTAATGTTTGCTTCATAGTCTGGGAAAGATGGTAGATGGTATTTTTAAAAAATCATAAAAAAAAATATTTAAATTAACATACTGTTTTTAAATAAGTTAAAATTTTATTTATTTATTTTTATTACTATCAATATGTTTCTATGAGAGTCAAGTAACCGTTGGCATTGTAGGTTCAAACTTACTTTCACCCCAAAATTTAAGCATTGAGGGCGGAATACAATTGTACCGTTCCTTTTTTAATAATATTAATTTATTTAGTAACCTATTCCATAGTTCGGTAGTTCATCACTCATTGTGATCGAACTTATCCATAGTATTTGTAAGTTGGATTTATCGAACTGTTTGGTGACGTGTTCCGAATGGAAATTCGACCCCATCAAATAATGAGAATTCCATTGCCTCCGAGATTGACTTGACCAATATTCTAGATGTCCAAAATACTAAACGAATTTATAATAAGGGAACTATATATAATAATAAACGAATTTATAATAAGGGAACTATATATAGTATTAGTTTGTGTTTTATATATTCAAAATTGTTGGCTTTAAAGATTAGGATTTTCAAATATTTTATTACATGTTYCCACGATCTTTTAACTCTCTCTATGTTTATTTATACTAAACAAATTTAATTAAGTTTTGGTTATGTTTGACTTTATGTTTTGAACAAGTTAATGTCAAAAAAAGAAAAAAGGTTTTGAACAAGTTGATGCAACAATAAATTTTAATTTGCAATATGCTTTCCCAGGTGGGATGTGTATAAATTTTTTGGTATATCTTATTTTTACTTTAAATTTGTTACCGCGAATATTTTCCTTATAAATTGTTACTGTACGTTTTACCAGTATCTCAATCCTTCTTAAAATACATTAAATTCTTTATCTATGGGTAGTTAAAAGAAATCAATAAATAATAATTTTAATAATAAATAACTAAATAAGTTTAGAATATCAAGTCAGATACACAAATCTTGCCTTAATAGAAAAGCTTCTCTGTGTGGCCTCCAATAACAAAATCATCACTTCATATTGCTTCCATCTTTCATTTAACAAATATTGCTTTGATGACATGTAAGAAAAATGGAAGAGATCAACAACGGAAGGAAAATTGCTTACAGGTATTAATCGAAAAGGTTAAAGTAAAAACTGTTAACCCACTGCCTTTCAAATTCTCTCTGAACGATGCCACTAATCCACTTACAAGTTCTTCCCTACTTGCCTCTACTCTTCTACTGCTTAATTAACTCCTAACTATGAAATTTAATCAAAAATATGGAAACACTAACAATACACAATATGTTAATCTGAGTATAGTTCAAGTGGACGTTCGAGACTTACTTCAATATCATCCCAAAATTGATAGTTTAATTTTCAACTCTAGCGAACATTGAAAAAGAAAAAAGAGAGGCCTTTTGCACTAAGAGCAGGAACACAAAAAAGGAGGATTTGCCATTGGCAAAGTGAAGGCTACTTTAATTACTTTCATCCCTGTTTCTCCCAATATTCCAATATCCACCTCCCCAAACTTTGATACCCSATTTGAATTCATTCTCTTTTAATTAACCTTAGTCTCTTTGGACCAATGAACCACCAATTATCGTTTTGGCCAATATTCTCAGTGCCAAGTACTTTGTAAGAAAGAGAGCTATATAGAATAGTAAATTTGGTGTTATATTATACATTCAAAATTCATGGRTTTAATAATTAGATTTTGGTTTTGATTCTTATTTTGTTTTAGTTCTAGTTTATTTTAAGTCCTTGCATTTTCAACTTTTACTCATTTTAGTCTTCATACTAACATTTAAACTAATGATCATTTTAAACTCTTCATTTTCATTTTTATCTCTTTTATTTTGATCAAAATTTAAACATGACATTTATTCTGTCACTAAATTTCTTAAAATATGGCCATAAATTTATATAGAAAGGTTTCCATTTAATAAATAAGGACCAACGTTATCACTTTTTAAAAATACAAATGGACATTCTAAAAGTACAGGGAGTAAAATGAACAAAAGTTGAAAGTAAACAACTAGTTTGGTAACGCGTTCTCATTTCATGTTTTTTGTTTTCCTTTTTAGTTTTTGAGAAACATAAGCATTTCGAAACTATTCTAGTTTCTCGATATTTCGCATTTATTAAACTATATTTCCAATCGACCTTTCAAAATACCAAAAATAATTGTTATTACAAATTTAAAAGATTAAATTACTGATATTATTGATATTGTATTTATCAGAGACAAGTACAATTACATAGAGCCTAGTATAGAGAATAGAAAAATAAGACACAAAGATAAACCATAAATATTAAAGCTTAATAGACCTCGCATTTCATCCATATATCATCTTATTATTGAACTGAAAATGTCTATTGAAATGCTCGTTTAATACTTCATTTTATTTCATGAGTTCACCTGCACAATTAAAAAGAACACCCATTATGAATGAACAAAAATTAGAAATAAATAATAAAAAAAGGAAAATTGTAAAATAAGTCCTACTTTATACTTCACTTTTAAAGAAATGTTGCCTTTTTTAATTGGTCTAAATACTTTTTTGCTTCTAGTACTTTTGGCATTAGTTTATTTTTGTTATACTTTCAAAATATCTTTATTATCACCTAAGCTTTCAATTTTTAATCATTTTAATTTCTATATTTTTGAAACGTTTGTTTGGGTCCCTACACTTGAAAACGTAATCATATCGATCCTTTCATCTTCATTTATTTCGATCAAAACTTTTGCACGACACTCCACTCATTAAATTTCTTAAAATATAGTCATAAATTTGTATTAAAAAATTTATTATATATAAAATTTATGTTAACTTTAGCAAATAAGAACTAAAATTGTCACTTTTAAAATTATATAGGAGCGAAAATGGGCATTTTGAAAGTAAAAAATTAAAATGAACAAAAGTTAGAAACAACATTTTAAAAGTAATGGGACCAAAATGAACATATTTAAACCTTTTTATTATTTACAAAAGTGGCAAATTTAATATTTGTTCAATGTTAATTGGTAATTCACCAATCCGAAGATCTATTAAGTCAGTAAAATAATAGTTGCTGAACAAATATGATTGATAAATCAAATTTTGATTAAGGGTTAAAATCTCATTTGGGTCCTCTAAAACATTTTGGTTTGATCTATAAATTTTTATGAAAATTTTATTTTGTCTTTCTTGCTAAATTCTTATATTACATTTTACATAAATAATATGGGTAACATATTTTTTCCAAACCCCATGCCACCTAATACTAAAACACAAACCAACATAAATTTAACACTAAAAATGAGAAATTAATTTTCATGCAAAAAATCCAAGAACCAAAAGAAAACATTTAAAAGTATAAGAAAAAGTATAATAACCACGTGTAAAAGTTTAGTCCCCGTTGCATAGAATTTTGTTTATAATTTTATATAATTAGAAATCATGCATGGTTCCTCCCAATTTCTTTGCTACATTTTTCACATTTTTTAGGAACGCATTTAAATTTTTAATTAAATTTCACAAAAATATTGTTTTTCAATTTTCAAAATTTAGCTTAGATTGTAAAAACATATCCGTAGACAACACAGAGATGGAAATATTGTTTGTAAACTTAATTTTAAAAAAATATGGACAAAAAACAAAATAGTCATCCTAAACCAAGATAGAACCTAAATCTTGATCAAGTAATCAATTATATATCAGTGTTAATAATTAATTTTCTCAACCTAATATCACCCCGGAAAAAGTCAACTTTCCTGACTTTTTTGTGGAAAAATGTCGAAAGTGACCTTTCTCGATGCGCTTTTCCCAACTATTTTTCCGTCACTTCAAGAAATCCTTATTTCTTGCAGTGACCTTTATCTTTTCTTTTTTTCCTTCTTTTTCTTTATGTGAGAGATCAAACCTTGAACATCAAAGAAGGTAGTTGATCCACTGAACTATCCTCGGATTGGCATTTTTATCGCGATCACATGTCTTAATTTACTTCATAATCCCCCCACCCACCACCAAAACAAAAAGACCAAAAATAATTAGAAGAGAGAGAGTACATGGGTCAAAATTGGCATTGCACTTCTCCGGCAAGAGCATGGCAAGGTCGCGGTCAACGCCGGCGATTGGAGGGCCATTGACAAGCACACACAGGCAAGGCTGGCCGAGAGTTTTGACAGCTTTGCAACAGGCCTCCGTCGGCGGGATGGCGCGGAATGGTGCAACCGATGGCCTGCATGGCAACAGCCTAACAAGTGAAGAAAAGAAGGTGAAACGGCAAGTTTCCCCTTTGCTTTGTTCACCTAAACTTGTCATCACCAATAAAAACACCCAAGCTGACAAAAACTTCATGCCTAAGAACCCCATTTTCCCACACAATAAAATGGCGCCTCCCAAATTTGTGAAAAATAATGGACTTCTGGCATTATATTTATAAGAGATTGAGATTCGTACCCTTATGCACTTCCATCCTAACCCATGATCACGCTTCCATTGCCAGTTTCGGTCTCCCTCCGCTGCTGACTTGTCTCGATTCGCAAACCATACAGAAGTAATGATTTATCTGCACTGAAATTTTTATGAAACATCAATCACTTGTGACTCCTCTAAATCTGCAAGGATTAGGAAGGATATTGGTCATCTTTACATCGACTATGATCCTACAAAATGCACAAATTAGTTTATGATAGTTCAAAACAAATGGAAGAGTTGGAAGAGTTAAACACTTCTCCAAGATGAATAAAGTTTGAATATGCGCCAAGTGTAAGACTGTTAGTGGTTTCAGAGCTCAACTATCCCATTTTCACATAAAACAGTGGAGCATTTCAACCATACTGTCGTTACAATGGTTTTGGCAAATTTAGGCATGATAAAATACACTTGAATGAGTGAGGGATCAATTAATTGGACCAATTCACAGAAAACTGTAAAAATGTTTAACTGAAGTTTATTTCTCTTGATTCCTTTCGGTGCAAACAATCTGCAAAGTCTATTGGCATCCGTGAGAGAACAAAAATACAGGGGTTGATTACAGAGGTTCTCCTTTTTTTCCTTTTAGATTAATTACTGCAAGCTCTTTTTCAACATATTCTCCTGCCAAGATGACTGGATACTTGTTGGCATGTGGAGATTCAGCAAAGTGGCCAAGAGGCTTCAAGACAGCATCAGATGCTATATGGGCAAATAACTACATGCAATGAAACAAAAACTTAGATCCTCCAGAAGAAGTATGAAACTAAGTTGTCAGTTTTCTCATATTGTAAAGGAAACAATGATGATATAACTGGATTCACTTACAGTCGAAGAGACTCTCCAGAGACTACGTTTTTGCTCTGATGCAATCTTTATAGCATCAATTGTCCTTTTTGTGACAACTACTTCATGCATGCCAGCTATGCAGTCACCAGCAGTCAGCCATTCTATCTGCTCAAGAGAAATGGAGTTAAAGAGTAAAATATTATTCCTGGAATTTGCATATTCCAAACCATGCAGTATTTATCATAAATAAACGGGCTCCCCAATCTTTATGTAAGTAGCATAACTTAATAGTTAATCAGTTAAATAGTATTCTACAATCTAGAAGCCCATGGTAAAGAAAAACAGAGCTTGCTCCTACAATGAAACCATTCATAAAGTGAAACTTACTACTCTCAGAGAAAATTAATCATAAGTCAGACTATATCAGAATTCAATCGACTCAAGGAACATAATTTACTCTCTTTTTTCCACATAATATTCTATCATTCACCATAATAAATGAAACCTCCCAGCTGTATGATAAAAGCACGAACCTCCCAGTTTTAGACACACAAGCTAATTGAATATTAACCATTGAGAAAGAATCAGCAATGTTTTTATTTAAATTTTCTTCTTAAAAAGTCAGCTGTGCATTTGGAACAGCGACAGTCTCACTGGAGATAGATAGTATATCAACACAGTTGCAAACCTGTAAACTACGAAATTGGTTATAGGTCCTGACTTTCAACCATGACCATATTACCTGCTTTCCAGTCTGTATGAGAAGACATCCGATAGGAACCTTGACTTCAACTTTTTGGCCATTTCTAAGCCAAATATATAGACCTGGGAATCTGCTTCTGCCATGGATTGTCAGAAAATTAAGATCGTAATGATACCCAGCAAAGACTGTACCCTCCTGACCATAACTATGAAGGTCACTTCCTGTTGGAGCAAGAAGATGAGGTCCCTGGGATTTCAAGGAAGAAAAGTACTTTTAGGACGAAGTGAAGTCGGGGTCAATATGATTATTGAGGAAGACAGGCCTTTCTATGGCACAAAAAAAAAATTAAAAAGGAAGACGTTTATAGCATTTATAACAGAATATCCAGAAACTTAATCAAATATCCAGGAAAATAATCATACTGTCTCCAGCAAAGAATCCTCAGGAAACAAAAAAGGTTTAGTCATTGAGGAATTAAAAGTAAATAAGTTGTCTAACTCTTACCTAGTAAGATAATTTGAAAAGAAACAAGTGTTGAGGAAAAAGGAAACATAGTAAAGACAAGACTTTGGAGGGGGTTCGGCAGGCTAAGCAGGGCTTTAAACAGTTAAGACATTATTACGGATTTAAAGATTCACGTGCAGAGACTGATGGTGGATGTACTCTAAATGCAATGTTGCACGTAATGTAGTAGTATTTAGCACCCCCAGTATCAACATGCTTTCAACAACAAAGAACTGGATGCATTAACCCTCTAAAGCAGCCCTGATTCTCCATTCCATTTGGAGAAATTCCAAATGAGTAGTAGCCACAGACAAATAACAATGCTCCGTTCATTTTTTATCAGAAAAAACATAAAATATAATCATTCTTTCTAATCAGAAGAGCAGTCCTTCCCTTTATAAAATATAAAAAAAGGTTCCTTTCTTGATGTTTTCTGATTAGACAGTGAACAGTTTTCATTTATCTGATATAAAATGCCTAAATAATAAGAGATTTTAAAAGATAAGGAGATTTAGAAGATAAAAGCAGATTACTGATTCAACGCGGCATACTAAAAAAACAGACGATACCTGCTTCATCAGAGAAGTGAATGCATCCCTGGGCAAGCCAAACCCAATTGCTGCCATTTCAGCAACAGCCTGGGATAAATAACATTTTAAATGATATGCACAAAAACAGTATAGTAAGTTTGAGAAACCTCGTCCAATTACTTGCCTCTATGGCTGATATCATTTTGAAACCCCAGGAATCCATGGTATCCTTCCATTCAGGAAAACCGTCAGGGATAACCGGCTCAGCATTAAGTTCCTGCACAAAAGGGGTAAAAATTATGAGGGGGAAGACACAACTGACGAGAAAGGAGAGGGTAAAAGAAGTGATAGAACCTTAAATCTGGTGTTTGAAGGGCGAGGACCCACTCTCCACATGTATCGCCACTTGCAATCCGGCCCCTTGGGAAGTAACGGTTGGAATTCCTTGGGCATTGCTCTTATCTTTTCCTGCATTTCTTCATCGACCAGACTTTTTGGAACTTCCACTCCTTCTGGTGTTACCCCGACCTGATATCTCCATTTGATAATTTAAAATTAAATCCAAAATTGATACTATCAGCTCAGTACAAAGAGACCTAAATTCCATTTGTTCATTTCGGAAGCTTAGTTTCCTTCTTACAGCATTAATTTTCAGCACTTTATTAACTCTGAACATCCACAATAGTTCAAAACTGATGAAGTAAAGAAATGACGAATTTGAGAAGTTGTTCTCTCTTCATTGCTGTTCACTTTTTTTTTCCTCTTTTTGAGCATTTAATTTCCTAAATTCACTTCATCGCAGTGTGAATTTAACCTCTATTGAGCGTGGAAGAGAAGCAATTGATCTTTTGAGACTTTGTAGAAAATAAAGGGGTGGGAGACTGACACAGTGAAAAGAAGCAGTCATGCACCAATTGACGGAGCAATATTTTCTGATCCGTAGATAAATTATGAAACTCATCTCAAATGCTTTAAAAACAAAAAAGACAAACCATAAACAAGGAATCGAACTTTCCAGAAATAACAGAAAATTTAGCTTCCGATCGATCTACATTTTCCGGTGATCAAACCAAATCACAGAAGCAAATCAAATAACAATTTCACCTGGTAATGCAAATTAGGCCTCGCATGTAAACGCTTGAACTCAGTCGGCTTCTCAAAAAACTTTTCCATCATATCAATGAATCGATCGTTGTCCTCAACCGAGCATCTCGGATCCTTGACCAGGAGCGCGCCGGTTTCTTTCAGAGTCCGACTCACTTCCTCGCACAGAGCGGTGAGTGGGGGCGCTAACTCGATCGGAGAGTCGCCGGCGAGTTCCGACGAGGCCGTCAAAAATGGGGCCAGATCGATCACAGGCAGGTCCATAGCTGCAAAAACGACTCAGAGCGAGAAAATAAAGTATATAATTGTAGCAGATGATCAAGAAATTGCGAGGTTTTGGGTGATGGCGGGAGAGTGCACTCAGATTTTGCTGCGCAAATAATTTGTCTATAAAAACAGCAGTCGCTTCTCTACTAACAAAATAAATAAATTATTAATTCAGTCCCTGAAATTGGCTTAATTTTCAATTTACCCATTATAATTTCGACCATGTTTTAGTTTAATTATAAATTTTTAGGTTGTTACCAGTCCTTATTGGTCAATTTGAACATGAATTCTCCCACTCCCTACAAAAATTAATCCACGAATAGAAATCCAAATAAATTACAGAAGTGCCATTTTCGTAAGTAAGAATTAACAACAGATGCATTGAAAATTATTAATATTAATTTATAATTATTTTATTACAACCYCCACTTTAATAATGTTTTTAGAAAGGAAAAAACTTCGCTCCATGTGGTCCTATAAAAACAAGACAAGCGTTGGTTGTTGCTTTTTTTAATTATTTTATTAAATCTCATAATCCGATAAAAACTCCCAAATCTCTTTGAATTCTTTTTTTAGATTAGTTGGACAACTTTTCCCAATTTTCTCTCTCCCTACAACTATGAACAACAAATTGCAAAAAGCTTTCGTCTAAAATTAGAAGATAGTAAGCACGAAACCATAGAAGAAAAATGTTATGCAATTTAAACAAATTCATTTTTCATTCGATAAACTTGAGTTGCATAAAGTTTAAAAACAAAATGGAGATGAATAAAAAAAAAAAGATTATGAGATTTAATAAAACAATTAAAAAAAATAACAACCAATACTTGTCTTTRTTTTTATAGGACCACGTGAGGGTAAGGAGCACAATGCTCCTCACCGATAAGGAGCGAAGTTTTTTCCTTTTAAAAATCCGTTAAACCATTAAAACCACCGGCCAATAAATTTGCCACTATTGATAAAATGTCATTATGTTAAAGACAAAATCAGTTACAAAAAACTAAAAAATTATTATTATAATTACCAAAATGTAACATATAACTATTCAAAATCCTAATAGAATCTATAAATATAACAACACTAGATTCAAACAGATTAAAAAAATTCAATTTTCCAAAATTTATAAATTGTGCAGGAGAAGAGATTAGTTCTAACTAGGCAGCTATGATAATTTGCAACAACACGATGGGAAATAGGAGATATGCAGTAGAAGTAACGAAATTAGTAGTGCATCCGCGACAACGATGAGCAACGACAAAAGTGGGGAGGCGTGCAACATCGAAGATGGCAAAGACGTGCTACAAGAAAAATGATGAGCATGCATGCAGCAGAAAATTCCATTTGTTTCTTAATGACAGTAGAAAGAGCGGTAAAATTAAGTGAGAGTTTTAAGAAATAGAGATAAAATGTTGTAATCTTTACCCGAAACTTTTAAAAGTGTTGCAACTTTTGCCTTCTAATAAGTTTTCTTTGAAAGAATCCTTGAAAAAAGTGTTCTTAGTTGCATACACTAAACTATAAAATATATATTTGGTACATAATTGCTAGGATAATTCACAGAAAAATGACAATAGAACTGTTTTTTTTTCTTTTTAAGTTTTGATAGAGTAATTTAATGGTTGATTTTGTGCATTAATAAAATTTGATTTTGTGCCAAGCTTGATTTTCATTAAATTAATGAGTTTTTAGATTTACATTACTTTTGGTTAAAATCAGTCCGTGAATTAGCATAAATTGAACATATGGTAAAAAAAAAATAAAAATTATAATATTTATCTAAATTTAGGATGGTCAAGTTAATGAAATAAACTGAAAATTGACACAGTTATCTAGCTTTCCCCTGACAATGACAAGAAAAAAGAAGAAAAAACTTATAGAATCCAGCTCTGTTTTATTTCATGTAATAAGATATTTTCTCTCTGTCAGCAAAATAATTCATTTCATTCGTTCAAANATTTTTTGAATTATAAGCAAGAATAAATTGAGTAAAATAATTACAAATTTAATTTACACATACTACTCATAAATTTAACCACGTCATTGACAATTACTCACAAGTAGTAAATTAATTAATCAATTATTAACAATAATAAATATATAAAATGTAAAAAGGTAGACTACGAAGAAGTTTTGTTGTTTAATTACTCAATAATTTAAATATCTTGTTCTTTAATTTTAATTAATATTAGAATTTCATTGGTTATTAATTCAAAAAGTTTAGTAATTTTTTCATTATCTATTATAAAAAGTTGTTTTCTTCCCACCAATATTTTGAACTTCATTTTTTTCTTTATTGTTAGTCTTTCTCAATCTGTCCAAATTTCTCGAATCTTTAAATTAAAGTAGCTTGAGACATATGTGATACATTAAAGTTGCATAGAATTCATTCTAAAAAAACAAATAATAAATAATAATAATAGTTTGAGACATATGTGATATTTAAGGTTGCATGGAGTTCTTCTATAAAATAAAAATAATTGCATGCTACTAAATCTAGGGATGTTACCTCTACTTTAATGTGTTCAACAATGGTATATGTTTTCTAACTATAAGAGCCAAAATCCTATTTTAAAGTGTGTATATATATTCTTTTGTTTTATTTGTTTTGTTTCTCTGCCTACTATATTATTTTTCATTGTTTTTTAATAACTAATAATATTTTCTATTTAAAATATTTGTAGAATATATTTGTCACAAATTTATTAACACATTCAAATTTCATAAGAAATTTAGCGTGTTTTTAAAATATTTTATTTTATTTTTTAAATAACAATTATCTAAAAATATTGTCATAAAATTACCTAATATTTGAAATGAATATTAGATAAAATTATTTAATATTTCTTTTTTTATTGCACAAGTCTATTATAATTTGTAATAAATTTCCATAAAATTTATAATATTATACTTTTATTTTAATGGAAAGTTTAAAAATATTATTAGTTCTAAAATATATCTTTTATTTTAAATAATATAGATAGGTTAACATACCACATTAACGAAATTTTATAAAACAAATTTTTTTATCATATTCTACCAATTATAATTAATATATTGTTTGTATTTCATGTCATAAATTATTCAAATAATTATAAGAAAACATTGTATGGTTAAATAAAAATTCTGTGCACGTTGTAACTAACTAGTCAATCAAAATGGGATGTCAATTATATTTTAAAAACTACTATGGATATTAATTAATATAATTAAATTAAATTAAACAATTTATAATATTTTATAATAAATCGTCGACTAATAAAAATAATTTTTTATTATAATAAAAAGTATTAGTAGTATAATGGAAACAAAAGTTATGCTTGGAGTATTTCATGTTTATTATAAATGTTCTATCTATTTTCAATGTGGGATCGTACACGTATGAAATGAGATAGATTATACTCATAAAACTACTCACCTATGATGGAATATCTTAAAATTATTAATCATATTAAATGAATTCATTTTTTAGCTCATTGATGTATTTTAGGGTGCGTTTGGTGGTAATGAAATTCGAAAACAATGAATTCAATGAAAACCAGAGTTTATTATTTGTTTTTAGTGTTTTCAAATATGTGTTTGGTAGCAGACTTGGTCACTGAATCTCAATTCAAAGTATTGTTTCATGAGTGGTTACAAACTAAATTGTAGTTTAACCTAAACTTGTATTAATTCGTTGATTAACATTTTGTATGAAATTTGTATAATTATTATTTTACAAGGTTAAATAATTTAGAATACATTATATTTCACATGTTTTAATTTTAACAAACATAAAATCAATTTATAATTTAAGGTCATATGTTTTTTTTGTCAGTAATTCTGCCCCTTAAAAGTTTCAAAGTCTAAATCTGAAAAAACTGAAAACGTAAGATTGTCTTTGGTACGCAACTCAATCTATTTTATATGTTTTAAAAAACAAGGGACATGATAAATTGTTGTTTGGTGGATCAAAACTTGAAAATTATTTATGGAAATTCAAATCCATTTAGCCCAAAATCTAAAAAAGTTTCTTGTTTTCAAATTCGAAAATGCTTGGATTGGTTTGACCAGAGTAACTTGAAAAACTAAGAAAGTCGGGGAATAAAATTTACAAGTTAGGTTATATTTTAACAAAACCCAATGATCAGCTTAAAACTAAAATAGTTTTATCTCGTGACTTGAATTATTTTAGTTATAGTCATTGCAGTTTTAAAATTTATTTATTTTAGTTCGTGTACTTTTTAAATGTCCGTTTTTATCTCGGTGTTCTTGAAAAAACGACTATTTTAGTATTTTAAATTTAAATTCAAGTTCCACATGATGATTTTTTTTCTGTTTATTATGTATGCTTAATTTTTGTAAATGATAAAACTTTATTTACATTGTGTTATATACATATATATATATATATATATATTTATATTTATTTATATTCGTGAATGTTTGGGCCCGTGCCGGAAAACACATATGAATTACTAATTCGTAAGGTAGGTGACGATTTGAACCAATTCCCTCTTAATTAATCATAGCCCCTTTAGATCAATAGGCCACCATGGACGTTGATTATACATAATTGAATCTTGGTCTTCAAGTTTATACTTTGGTGAGATTTAAAAACACAATTTTACACACACCAACGATGGATTTATAAAGTTAATATAAATGTGCATATGAACCCATCAAAATATGTAATTTTTTTTTGAACGACATCAAAATATATTTACTATAAGATCAATCAAATACTTTGTATGAAATAACCTCAATTAACATTAAAATAAAGTCTATCAAATCCTTTAGCAAATCACGTATTTAAATGAAGTTTACTCATTTAGGTGATGGGTCATGATAAAGTCTCCATTCCCATTTCGTGGAAAATTTAAACAGAGATTTTCAGCCACGATTAGGTGGGTCCTGTCCCACAGAGAAATTAAAATAGGCAAAAATATAGAGATTTAAACCTTTCTAAACATAACGTTTTGAAATATAGAGACTAAAATGATGGTTTTGAAAATATACGAGCCAAAATAAATCAAAATTGGAGATCAAAATAATATGTAAACCTATAAAATATTTAAATAGTGGAGAACTCAAATAAAATAGGTAGGTAACAAAATTTTGTATTAATCACAATTTTTACTACGACTAAATCAAAA